ACATTTAGCAGTACATGCCCCTGTACCTGTCTCCAGATGAAACAGAGAAATGCCAACCTAGTATTTGCTTTCTTTACATCTTCACAGTTCCTGCTTGCCCTTTCTGTATTTGTTGACTACAAGAGTAGAAGGTTACAGCAGCAACACTTTGAGATGACATAGCTATGCAGTTCCCCATTTTCCAATTGCTGAAAATTAAGTCAAATAAACTACACAAAGACAAAGCATTTTTTCTATATAATTGCCTCTTGCTTTTTATGAAAGCAGACTGGTGTGAGATATGATATATTAAAATAATATAAATCAGTTTCCTTTATTTTGGCTGGAACAAAACACTCAAAAATTTCAGCCATGCTTTGCCCAGCACTTAGCACAGTCTGTATGACCATCAGTTATCAACAATATTACCAAGCTGCACTCCCTCTCACTCCAGTCTGTTTTACCTATCAGCAATAAACATTATGATTTAGTACCTCCTGGCCTAGGAACTCCATGACAAAGTAATAAATATCATCTTACTCACGGCTCGCATAAAATTTTAGTAAACACATTTCTACGTATTTTGTAATTGGCACCATGCATGATTCTGTTCTTTCAGTGTTACACTTGCATGTCCAGGGTTCTGAATGAAAACTTTGAGAAATTACCTTAATTTTTACAATAAATAATTAGCAAGTATGCCCAAACATTTATGCGTATGCACACATTCTCTCATACTATATTTGGTAAGACCAAATCAAAATACCATAAATCATCATTATCTTCAGCCAGGATGTTTTACATATGTTGTTTGTTCTCTTTCCACAGAACAGTAGTGCTAAATGTCATAGGAGCAAAACCAACTCCCACACAACTTCAGAAAAACACTGTAGCTCTCTGAATTTCTTGGGAAGATTGAAGGAAACAGCTCAGCAAGGTTTGCACTCTAACAGCTGCATGAAGGAGAGAAAAAAACCAACCCTCACCCCCCCGCAAAAGGAACACTATCTGGTGATGTTTTTCTGAGCCTTGGAAATCCTTCCTCTGTGTAAATTAGGAATTTATCACAGTGTCATATCATGATGAATTGCTTTTCTGAATTTCTTATTACAAGAGTAGAAAATAAGATCAGAATAACAAACTTCGCAAACACTGACAACAGTAATTCAATTTTTTTTCTAATTTTAACTAAATAAGAATGAGGTAATCATTAAGAATAATCTACATGCCAGTCTAGCATTCATCATTATTTCGAGTTTCACATTTCTATCACCAAAGTAAGCATATTCCTTTCTTCTCCTGCTCTACTAGTTTTCAATATGCCATAAGGCAGCAAATAAACACCTGGTGCCACTTTGTTGGCTTTAACCATCTGATCCATTGTGATTTTGGGGGTTAATTTCTATGCTAAGACTTTAATAATAACAATTCTAAAGAGAACAGAAGTATTTTCCTAAACTCCACAAACATATGAATCATTAAACAAACATCTTCTCTGAATAAGGCACAACCCAGTAGGGCTGCTACACATCCACGCTTCCTTCAACATTAACATTTTAATAGGTGATGACTGGTCTTAGCATTAGGAATTCATATATATGCAGGCTACATGGCAGTGAGCAGCCTTCACTGCACATGAAAAGTGAACATGGTTTATCAAAGCAAAATTCTCTCTTGATGCTTTTCGTGGGAAATTAGGCAAAGAAAATTTTTAATCAGTCTCAGTGGTGGCGCCTCCTCCAGAAAGTATGACAAACCAAAACTAACCAGGATGCCATATGACAAACTAAAAGACAAGAGTGTTAAAAGAAACAGAGGGGGAATAAAAAGTTTTTCATTAGCAGAAAGCTTTAAAATACTCTAAACACACCACCCTCTTCCCCCAGAACAACTAAAAAACTCTATTAAAAATCTCACCTTACATGACACACACATGCCCATAAATTGAAACAGCTTTTGAACAAACACATAAATGCCTCATTTCCAAGTTTCCTTTATTAAGGGAGAGGGGAAAAGCGAACAAGAACAGATCTGAATTCTGTAAGCCACTGCCAGAAAACACACTGGGGCACAGTTTTATTCTGCCTACTCATCTCTCTCATCTTTATCTATGACCCCCTGAAGGCAGGCATTTGAAGACATGCTCAATTAATCCAATTAGCTATATTTACATTTTGACTCAGCCACCTACATCTGCTATGGCAGATACCCTAGTATTCCCTCCTGTGAAATCCACTTTATTTTCTTCTAAGTTTGCTCTAACAGCCTGTAGCTTTTCAGCTGTTGGGCACAGGTGGCTCCTAGGATGTCTTAAATACCATCTCCAATTCACTTTAGTATTGCCTTGCAACAACTTTTGTGAACAGAATTCATTACAAGTACTTACAGAACATCAGCAAGTCCAAAAACTCTTAGAAAACACTAGGAAAGAACCTAACTTTATTCTGCCTTAAGAAGGAGTTAACGGAAAAAAAAAGTTAAGTGCCAACAGTGCTTAGAATTTCCACAAAGCAAAGACTGCAAAATTATTTGGGATCGTGGCTCACAATATTCACAAAGAAAATGTGCAGAGAAAAACATAATGTGGGAAATACATCTTCTAAAAATCTCTTGATAATGAAAGCAAGAGGAAAGTATGGTTATTATCCATAACTAGAAAAGCAAGACAAGTCTATGGTACCCCTGCAAGGGCACCATGCAAAACGACAGGATTCTAAAACTCCACCCTACACACAGACATTTTTCTTTTAACATAAATCAAGTAAGTTAAACTAGTGGCTCATCTGCATATCAGAAGTGAAATTAAAACCTAACTTTTAATTGCTAACATGTAAATGTTACTCTGGTTTAATTATACCAGTATAATAAAAATCACAGTGCTGTTTACTTTGGAACTTTTCCAGCTGCTGGCTAAACAATACTTACTTGGTTTGAAGGTTTTCCTTAAAGCTACATGCCTGTTAAAATTTTTCCTTCTTTCATCCCCCAACGGTAAATTTAACAGCTGTAACAACAGCTGGGCAGCTTAGCAACTGTAAAATACAGATGCCAATTTCTAGAAAAGAGCTTTCTAGTAAAAGAAAATAGGGTCTGTAGCAAGTGTTCGTGGACTCCCCAACTGTAAGATTTTACTCTGTATCTTGGCCCCAGCTGGAGAGCTGACACACTGTGCTTTTGCTGAACTCACCAGGCAGATTTCAGATCCTGTCCCTCATTCAGAGAAAGGTCATTTTGCTGTTACAGAAAAAACAATGTTCTGCCATGTTACTTTACTAATTATTTATGTTGGCTCATGTGCTCTTTTTAGTATTAACACTTACTAAAATATCAGACATTATTTAGATTTATTTAGATTATTTTAATATCAGACATTATTTAGAAATATGTTTAGTTTGTATTGTATCACCAAGATAAAACTGACTCTAAATTCTCTATATTTTATGCACAGATCACCCCACTTGAAACAGAATGATCTAACTAACATATGAAAGTAAGCCTTCTTGTACCAAAATCCTATCATGGTAGTGGTTATAGTCATCAGAAAAGGAGGAGAAACAAACAACCCCAAACTTGTTCACAGTGGTCCTTAGGGGTCCTCTTAGCTTTCCCAAGTCATTCACAATTGGCATATGTTAGAGGAGTCTAAAAATGTCTCTAGATACTTTAAGAAGTTCAGTTTTTTAGGATAAGAACATTTGCAGCTTCTGTTGACTTTAATTGCAGCTGTGAACATTAAGCTGTTCACAATATGCAGCCCACTTATTTTGGCATTTAACTATAGGTTGTGTACCAGCCCAGAAGAATTGCTAATTGAAAACAGTGCTCATGGTGCCAAAGTTAAAACTGAATGCTAGAAAGAATCAAACACTGCTTATTTCATTTGCTGTCTTTATATTCCTCTTCTTCATCTCCACAACTCATGGAGAATTTTTCAGAATGGTTCAGCCTATAAAGTAGCAGAGAGCAACATGCAAGGAAACCTCCTTCTGGAAAGAAAGATGACATGAGAGCATTATGAACATTATCAAGCAAAATCAACAGACCTTCCTGGGAACAAAACAGGCAGAGATGCCAGGAAATGCAACAGAGAAATGAAGTTCTTAAAAAAAAAAAAAAAGATAGAATTACAGCTGAAGTACCATGTACTGTTTTACTACAGGAAATAACATACCCTGCAAATAAATACAGCAGTGACAGAAAAATATATGAAAAATGTTGGAAAAGATTTTATGACTTGAACACAACTATGCCAGGTTTTACTGTTCAAAAACAGTCTTGAGAGTTTCAAGATTGCAGAATAAAATAAAGTACTTAAACGTGTTTTACCATAGGTACAATAATTGATTGTGAAGGTATGAAAATGTAGTACTCTGAAAGTCCGCTCAGAATCCTCGTCTTATTGCAAACATGCTGGCAAGGCACATGTTCTACTTCATGACACACACAGTAATGATCTGTTACAAGCGGTAATTGTTCCTGCACATGTACAAAAGCATATTGTGCTCTGTCCCCAGGAAGACAGCGTGTGCTAGAAAGAGCAAAACCTACAGCTGAACGCTCTGAGTCTTAATAGGAACTGTAAGAAAGAGGATGAAGAAATTAATACTTACCACCCTGCACATTACCAGTACAAAAATGAATTCCCTGTGGCAGGAGAAGTATTCATAAATGTTAAATTCTCACCATATTTTCACATAATGCAATAGTTTCCAAACGTTTTGATCCTGCACCCCAACAGTAAAAGAAATTTTGAGCATGCACCCCAGTATACATATGTTTATTTATTTATAAATCATACACGAGCATGACAGAAGTTCTAGTGTTTTCTTCCTGCACATTAATGAGTCATCGCACACACATCACTTTGGAGACCATTGCTGTAATGAACAGAAGAACAAATGGTAGCAAAACAAGCATCTGCCCCAGGTATTTGATGTGAATATCCATGCAAAAATCCTGTGGGCTCCCAGCTGGCTACTATAGCTAAGCTTTTCCTAATAGAAATAAAAAGTCAATCTTACCAGTGGTGGTGGTGGAGGGGGCCCTCCAGAAGGTGGTGGTGGAGGGGGCCCTCCAGAAGGTGGTGGTGGAGGAGGCCCTCCAGAGGGTGGTAGAGGTGGTGGAGGAGGAGGTGGTGGTGGCGGCACAGGCATCCGTTCAGATTTCTAGCTTCACACAACTATGAAAAATATAGCCAAAGTCTATGTCCTTGAGGAGAAGGAAGGGAGGAGAAAGAAAAGTGGGAAGAATAAAAAGAAAAAACAAAGAGGAATGTGTTTATATACTGCAAGCTGAAGATTGGCCAAATATCTAGTTCTCGGCAGACTGAAGACTTTTATACTGCACTGCTTCCAAAAATACAGTACGAACAGCCTCATTACAGTTATCTGATGACAACATTCATCTAAAGAGCAAGCTCATAGATCTGGACAAGTGCCATGAGTACCAAACACATAGACGCCAGCCTGTCCAACTTTAACTATTATGTCTTGCCTTAATCTAGCCCATGGCCCTGAAATGCAATTCCGCAGAGAACAAATCACAGCCGACCACATGTAGACACTCCTGTAGGGACAAAAACTCTGTTGACTTTTATGCCAGAGGTTTTTCAGCTCTAACAACAGAGTAAGGAAATTTATAAGGTGCAGTGGACTTGCTCAGTGTTTAAAGAAAAAAAAAGAAAAAAAAGAGGCACTCCCCCCAATGATTGAATAATAAATGAAGAAATTATTCTACAAATGAAAGCTTCCATTACCAAATTATAGCATGTAAGGACCAGACATTTCAAATCTTAAAATCACCCATGTTTTTCTTGCCATTTTAGATGTTAACTTTTCACATTTCTTTAGTACACTGACAAAACAGACACATATATTCATAAAAAAGCTATATGCTTTTTTTTGTTTTAAATCTCCTGCAGAATGACAGCACATCACTCACTGATTTTCATCTCTAACCCAGCCCTTGGCATGACTGCATCCCCTCTTAGTCATCTGTAAAGTTAACAAGCAACTCCTGTATTTCATCAGTAAAGTTGCAAGTGAAAGTCCTAGGCAGTGCCAAAGAGAGCTTTCTGCAAGCCATACTTGGTAAATTCTTTTGCTAGTGACTCTTGGACTCTTTGAATATGGTTTTATGTATAGTTTTACATCCGTTGTGTCATGACTATCTTCTGAGACTCTTCATAATGTCACGTGAAACAGTGTCAAAAGCCCTACAATAATGCAAAATATGGCATCTGCTATATCTTTCCTTTCTGCAGGGCTTTATTTTAGCAAGAAATTACATTGGTTTGACAGATTTGCTCTTTACGCATCTCCATAGATGAGAATTCATTTTCCTGTCTTCTCCAAGGATTTCAAAACATTTTTCTCATTTTGATGTTTTACTAGAAATTGATGTTAAGTTGAAAGGACCACAATTCCCCAGCCATATTCCCCTCGTTTCTCCCTTCATTTTTTAAAGCATGCACTTCATGCTTATCCAGAATCACCAGTATAAGGAGGAGGTACAAAAGTTAAATCTAGAAAAGTTCAGCAGAGAAGACAACATAGAAATGAGGCAAGTTGCAGTCTTTAGGAGAATACCTGGCTGTTTTGTTAGAGGGATAGTTTGGAAGAGGCAATGAAGCTAAAATGTTCACTTCCTACTTAGTGTATGTGAACAATATCCAGATAATACCTGAGTATTTTCCTTCTGCTGTATCTTGTAAAATACTTTGTGGGAGATGAAACGTGGAGTCTATGAAACACTCACTTCCTCCCTTGAGAGATTGCTATGCAAGGGACTAACATATCAAAGCACCCTGATCTTTAACAGAATTGGTTACAATCACTTTAATAACTGCTTAAGGAAACATTCCAAGAAAGCTGGCATCACAGTGTCTCCACTGTTCTACCATCATTGTTGCCCTATTCAAAAATCCATTAACAGAAGATATCTCTTTTCCTCAGTTAAGCCATTCAAAAACAGACATAAGGAGAATGAGTCTTCCCAGCTAATAATATGTTTCGGGTTAGTATCTTCCTACCCTGCAATACAGGCCTTTTGTCTTCATTAAGGATTTAGAATGGGAAATATGCTCCTAGTCAAATTAGAAAAAAAAATACAACCCACGCTTCTGTGGCAGACCACATGCATGGCAGCAGGAGGTAAAGCACACTGGAGGCAAGCAGCAGTGAGAGAAAGGAAATGGGAATCAGATCTTGGTATTTAGAAGTCACAATCTGAAATGCCATCAGGTGACTTTTCTAGCTGCCCCTCCACCAGTCCTTGCCCCAGCACCCATTCCTCCAAACCATGCAGCCTAAATTCCAGGACTAGAAACTGTGTGACCATTCAGTGCAGAGGAAGTGTTCACCATGTATCCCACTCCCATATCCTGAATCCTCCTGTCCAGTGAGAGCAAGTAAAAATGCATTTCAGGGAGCAGTAAAAAGCAGACCTCGAATGAAATGCTCTAGACACCATAGAGATTTCCTCCCATGCTGTTTCAAATCCTCTACAAATGAACCATCCTTAAGAAAATTCTGCATATGTGCCTTCTTTTGTCTCTTACCACAAATTCAGAGGCTTGATGTCCTGACCTTGGCATGCTTTTGTGCACACAGGCGAAGTCATGCTTTTTATACCACAACTGTTACAGGGTGTTGCCTACACAACGAAGAACCATTTTCCACATAAGGGCTCTCTTTGTTCAAATGGGCTTTGAAAGGAGTGCTGCCACTCTCAGAAGTAGACACTGTATGTCAATAAAGGCAGGCATCTTCAAGCTAACTTACAAGAAAAAACAACTGGCTCTTAGGATTTAGTCACAAATGCACGATCTACAATTTTTAATATGTAGGATTTGCTGTGAGAACCTCTTTTGTATTACTGCAGCTATCTCAAGTGGTTTGTATTGAAAGAAAATTATGGAGAAGACTGCAACACTTTCAGTATGTCAACACACATTACTTGGAGGCCTTTGTTCCTTGGTTAAAGGCCGTATTTCATTTGCCTCTGCACATTATAAGCTAAATAAATTCTGAATTAAAAAAAAAGAAAGGAATATCATATTGATCAGTTCTAATGTCTGATAAGAGCCAGACAAGAGGGAAATGTCAAAAAAGATCCTTAAGGCAATGTGCTCTTTCTCCACTGCTCTAAATATACATATTTATGATTGGAAGAGCAGGATCTGAACTATCCCTGAGGGACAGAAATAAAAAGATATAGTTTCAAAAGTCAGCAACAGGTGGAAGGGAGAAACCTATGTGTTTAGCCTCAGTTTGCTAAGACAAGAAGCAATGTAAATCCCAGCTTGACTTAAACACCATAGAACAGAATCAGGTCCAACAATTGCAGAATTTATTGCAAAAAAAAGAAGAAAATCCCAAACCCTGCCTTTTCTAGTCCACCTCCCTACAAAAGCAAGGTTGTACACTTTTTTTTAGTGCTTTCTGAAGTCTAATTTTAGGTGTCCCAAATAATGTGGCTTGTATTATTTCCCTTGGGAAGCTCTTTCACAGTCAAATAACTCTTAGTTCATAATGCCTGACACACAGCCTAATTTCTTCTTCTCTCAGTTTGATCCCATTTGCACTCCACTGCAGATGATTCTACATTGTTCTAAGCAAAATGGTTTTTCCTACTCCTCAGCATCAGCTTTGTGGAATATAAGAAATGTAATTCAGAAATACATTTACAAGGACTTGTTATAGTTTTTGAGATGTTTTAGTTCTCACAAGTCAGTGAACTTCTCATCAGTCAGCAAATATTCTTACTATTCTCTGATCTCAAAACAGCTAGTCTTCTTTTGTTCTATTGGTAAGGGTAATTCTAAAACTGGTAATTTCAGGCATCACAGATCATTTCTTGCATGTTCACACAGTCCTTGCTTGAATAACAGCTGGGTTTAAGAAACATAGCACAGTCCACAATGTAGAACCCAAGGGCCTGATTTCTATAGGCCCAAATAAAGTCTCCACCCAGACTATAATTTTGAAGGGTCAGACAAGACATAGGAGGTGTAGATCTTTCTTCATGGACTGCTCTCAAGTCTTGTGCTGGATTTACCTGTGGGAAACACAAAACCTCTTTCTAAGCTTTTCTGTAGATTTGGTCTCATTTTACCCAGCTACCAGATGTACATAAGCTCTGATCCAAGCACTTCCCAAAGGTCTCCTCCTGAAGTATCACTGCCACAACCCCAGTCCTGGGTTCACACTAAGACAAAGTCCTGCTGGGAGCACAGAGCTGCACTAAGCCAGCTCATATGTCTCCTGCCACAGTGACACTCAGCAGAACCACCATAGGTCTGCCTGCAAAAACTATTCTAAAATACCTTTACCCATCGTGGAAAGTGAAGGCATGAAACAGCTGTATCTTCAATTTATTACAATGTATAGATGGGGAAAAGACAGAGGAAAAAAACTAAAACCCAATTATACACAAAAATTAAACACAAAAATGCATTTATACACAAAATTAACTAGTAGCATTTTTTAAATTAGTAAAGTCGTTAGGTCTCTAGGTGGTATAGTCAGTAGCACAAAACAACACGCAGTTGGAACTGAAAATGGGACCCTTTTAATCAATTTAGAGAAAGGACTGTAAAATAATTGATTCATTATTACTGGATTTGCAATCACTGCAGCTGCACACCCTGAGGCAGGTACTACAGCTTTGGGGAAGTGTACAGACTTTCTCCCTTCAAAGTGAAGGCTGGCGTAGATATTTCAAAGGTGTGCAGGAAAGCTTATCTATTGGTCTTATTTTCTTGATTAAAAACTGAAGGTAAAAAGTAGACCACAAACTCTGGTTTTATCTTTTAACCAGCTTTTATATAAACAAATATGATTTCCTCATTAACAGTACTGTTCGGAGATATAGCTTTTAAGTCCTTGCATTTTAACAGAAAATTAAAATAATTTCAAAATTACATGTGAAAAAACAGCATCAATAAGCATCTGCTTCACTTTCATGACTTGAAAAGTAGACAGCTAGCCTAACTGTGTCCCTGTTTGCTCCTGTGAAATGTCAATGAGTAAAAGTTGAAATCACTGGTATGAGCACTCCACAGATCTTTTAAAGACAGTACAACACCTGATACAGAGAAGAGAAAAAGCCCAGAACAATAGATGTGTGTTACATAGATCAATTATCCTGCTGTCATATCACACAACTGGAAATGACTTGGATAAAGCTTCTGTTTGGAATGAGCTGGT